GCTGATAAAAAAGTAGGTAGTCATAAAATTTCAGATTTTTAAAAAATTTATCTACACACAAATTATACCAATGATATGGAATTAGAAAGAAAGATGGTCAAAAAATTGATTAAAGTATCAAGAATAATTACGTCATCGTTATATAATAACAAATATAATCTGATACATTAGTAATATCAACTCATCTGCCAAATTTTTTATCAGGTTATATTAAGGCTAATTGCATTGGTTTGGATTAATAATTAACTATAATATACCAGATGATCTGCAGTTTTGTTAATGTTATAACTGATATAAACAAGTTTTGTTTTGTTTTATTTTTGTTGCAATATATTAAGATATTTGAGTTTTTATTTTTTAGGAATATTTTTAATCTTTGAAAATTAAAGATTTTATAGATTTATTAATATACACTGGTGTGCAAAACTTAAGGACGAAAGTAACATTCACATGTTGTGTCACTGCCAAGTAACATAGCTCGAGTTGAAATACTGAATATAAATAGGGTTTGCTTGCAAAATCATCGCGGGCAAAGCCGCGGGTAACAGCTAGTTTTGTATATTTAGATAAGACCCCGCTTAACGCTGCCTCACTTAACGCTGATTCAATATAACGCCGTCTGCTCGAAGCTTAAAATTGATTCGTATATAATACGATTATTATTTACGATTCGTATATATACGATTATTACGCAAATAATCGTATATAATACGATTATTTGCGAACACAAGCCAANATGCTTGCCACAAGGTTGGTAAGGAATTCCTTTGGTAGGACGTTCCACTCCTCCACCAGTGCAGTTGACAACTGCTGGATGGTCGTTGGTGCATGTGGACATGCTGCAATACATCTCCCCAATGCACCCCACACGTGCTCGATGGGATTTAAGTCGGGGGAACAGGCAGGCCAGTCCATTCACCGAATATTATCTTGCTCCAAGAGCTCCTCCACCTGCGCTGTTTGATGCGGTCGAGCATTGTCATCCATAAAAATGAAGTCAGGGCCGAATGCACCTCTGAAAAGACATACATGGTGAAGGAGTACAGTGTCACAATAACGTTGACCAGTGACAGTACCGCGTTCAAAGATTTGGAGGTCATTACGCCCATGCAACATTATGCTTCCCCACACCATAACACCTTGACCACCAAAATGATCATATTAGACAATGTTCCTGGGTGCATTACGTGTTCCCACCTCTCGCCATATGAGGGTACGTCCAGAATCACTACTCAGACTGAACCTGCTCTCATCCAAGAAGAGCAAGCGACCCCACTCCTCATTGGTCCAGTCCCTATGCTCTTGGCACCATCGCAAACGGTGCCACCAATGTGCTGGTGTCAATGGAACGCAACATACTAGTTGTCGGACAAAGAGACCACCCCTATGCAGTCACCATGCCACTGTGGAGTGTGAGATTGCGTGCCTTGCAGTCCTGTTAAATGTGATTGCAATTGCACCTGCTGATTGACATGGGTCCCTTATTGCTTGTTGCACAACGTAGCAGTCATTTGCTGCTGTAGTTGATCGTGGCCGACCACCTCCTCTCCTTTGGGCAGCAGTGCCTGTGGTTTGGAACACTCCCCATGCACATGAATCAATGCTGTGAGCAATACCAAACTCCTGGGCTACACTCATCACACTTCGTCCTTCTTCCAGTCTCCCAATGATTCTTCCCCGTGTGAAGTTATCCAAATGTTGTCTCTGGGACATGTTGTAATAAAGAACACTACCACAGTGCACTGTAACTGCTCACTGATTGACACACACTGTCTTTTACCATTTCTTCAACTGCCTCATGTTGTGTGGCCAGCCGCATTTGGCACTATAGTCGCACTGACCTGATGCCATGTGACGTCAAGCTTTCTTGCACAACCGGAAGACCTCTGGGAAGATGCTCCTGCACTTTCATTCATTTCCATCAAGTTGTTCATACTTTCTGTTACTTTATCTATCTCGTCCTTAAGTTTTGCACACCAATGTATATTTGTAGATCAGTAAATACTGTAAATACTTTAAAATATAATCTGAGTTTAATAATTCTTAGACTGCTTTTTCACTGAGAAGTGTCTCAGTTTGAACAATAAATAATATTTTCATCCTAATTATAATAAATTAAAATGATTTAATTTCAAATATTTTAAATACAATCATTAATTTACTACATATATCATACATTTGTATATATTAGTTGCCTTCATTTATTTCAATATTCTTGATGATTTTTACACTAATTTATCAGTTTATTATTGTTCAGCAAATTATACAGTATGTCTATTTACTTACTTGTATGATTTAACTTGAATTTTCCAAAATAATTATTACTCATACATATTATGAGTAATAATTATTAATTCATAAATGTTGTCTTATTTTGTGTGCTAGTGTGCAAAAATTTTGGGGAAATTTTTGGATTCTGAAAATTCTGCCAAAAGGCCATCACTGCAGTATTGTACTGCAGTATTGATTATGAAAATTCTGCCAAAGGGCCATCACTGCAGTATTGTACTGCAGTGATGGCCCTTTGGACATGGTGTTAGTAGACTGCTACACCTACCCACTGATGATTTTATGCTATCCTCTTGTGTGTTACTCTATCCTTCTTTCTTCTTAGGCTAGTTTAGTTTGGCAATGGCTCTCTCCTCCTTGACAGACATCAGTTAGTTGTCTATTAGGTAACACACAATCCATAAGTTAAATATCATATAGATCACATGTAAAGTGTAACTCCATAAGTAGCATGTGAAGAAACCAGGTTGGATCTTTATAGGTACTGTACAGGTGTAATTTTAAATACTGACACCAAATGACAATCTGGTCCTTTGTTTGACATGTTCCTTCTGTCCTTGTGACTTTTGGTGACTATCTCCAATATTTCCTCCCTTACAGCTGAGCATTATCATCATGCACCCTTAGTTTCTATTAAACTTTTATACTGTGCTACTCACCACTACTACACTTCCTTTCCTCTGCAGCTTTGAGTGGCCCAGTATAAATATATTGGTTGGTTAGTTAGGACCTATCCATTTTTCAGTTCATCTTTATATACTGTATAAGCAATGATAAGTATAATAGCAATCCCCTAACACAACACAGTAAAATAAATACACAAAACACTCACAAGGACTAGTGTAATGTTATGAGCCCACTACACGACTAGTTCAAACAAACTAACAACAAAACCTGAACTTCTTAGTACTCTCATAGCAGAAAGAGGTCAGTGACCCACATTGACACTGGACTCTCTTATAAAAGACATTGTATATACATCATACACAAGATCTAATTAATTACTCTTATTTAGTAACACTGTTCCTTGTTGAGCTTTAGAAGTTGTGCTCTAAATGTTTCTGAGCACCTTGCAGGCCACATGCCTGCAACATTTGTAAAAAGTGCTTAGACAGCACTTTTTTTACAAATGTTCCAGAACTTTTCCCAGATTTCAGGATCTGTGGGAATCCTCTTTGGGGATACAGGAATGAATCCAGATGAGTCAAAAACCCTGAAACATATTTCAGATAGACCACCTAAAGGTGGTCTATCTCAAATATGTTTCAGGGTTTTTGACTCATCTGGGTTAAGATTCAGGGTTAAGGGATATATATATGTTTCAGGGTTAAGGGATATATATATGTTTCAGGGTTAAGGGATATATATATGTTTCAGGGTTAAGGGATAGATGCAACATATTTGAGATAGACCACCTAAAGGTGGTCTATCTCAAATATGTTGCATCTATCCCTTATAACCTAGCTGCTTCATTGTGGGTCTGGCCAAATCCATTATGGGCTTTTTTAAGAGGTCCTCTGATTGTCCACAGGACAGAAAGAGTAAAAAAAAAATGACCATATTTTCTTCATAGACACAGTGAAATAGTTAAGTGAACTTTGCAAGTATTTCATGTAAGGAACCAAGTCTGAGCTTTATTTTTATTTTACTTTTATTTTGCTTTCATTATATTTTGTTTGGGGCTTATGTTTAGTTAAGACGAAGGTTTCCTCACCATTCACCTTAGTAACTTAAAAATAGAAGAAAAACCAACTCACCGACGAAAGAAAAGCGCCGTAGAAAAACTCGCGCACACTTGCGCTTCCCAAGCGGAAAAAAGTAAGTCCGCACCGAGAAAAAGGGGGGGGAAGACCCCACAACCCAGTTAGGAATCGCTAAACCTTAAAAGAATAAAGCATCCCGATAATTGTTAAAAAGAATAATGTAAAAGGTTAGCGAAGTATTGTCGGAAAATAATCTGCCAGATAAACAAGAAAAATTTAATGTTACAGATAAGTATGTAAATGAGGAGAGTGAGCTCATTCAGAATTGTGACGTCACCTCACACTATAAAGCCTCTAACTCAAGTGAAAACGAACGAGGTGAATTCCTGATAGCAACGAGCTTTGGTGAGCTTCGTAGCAGTGAACGAGAGAGGTGTCCGATAGGATTTTGAAGTTATTCGATTTGTGGATCGACGATTATAGAAAGTCTTGAGAGTTTGAGGAAATAGGTTCCTAGTATATTGAGGTGACGATTAGGATCTTTAATTTATAAGAATTATTGTTTATAAGTTAATTCTTTGATTTTGTCGAATTCCAAAGGGGAATAGAATTAAGTTAGAAATAGATTGATTTGAGTTTGTCGGATTGATTCTTGTTGAATTTCATTGAATAAATTATTGTTTGATTTTTACTAAATACTGTATATAGTTTATTACTAGAAGTTTAATTAAATATTTGATTTTGTTATTGACAAACTTTGTCATTATTTAATTCGGTGCACGCTTAAAGTCCAGGCCTGGCACACTAACGCGAATCCGCGTAAAGTACCCGTTAGGGAACGGCTATTTCCGGCACACAGTAGTGTCGATAATCGTTGGAAAGTCGGAAAAATAATATAGTACTTTACATTCATACTTGCAAAGTTCACTTAACTATGAAATATATGAAATACTTTTGCAAGTATGACTTTGCAAAAGTATTTCATATATTCTGTTATATATGATGGGCAATCAGCTAATATGTATATACAGTATATATATATAGGGTACATTTGTAAAGTCAAATGAGTTAAACATGCTAGTAATGAATCGGTCAGAAAGTAGTAGTCTTGCTTAGTGCACATGCTCTATGGTGATGACGTTTCGAATGAAACTCTAATGAAGATCACGAAGGAAAAAGTTTATTTCATTAAGAAAATGGCATCTGGAGATATCGATGTTTCTAAATCTACTGGAGTGTTTAAATTGTGAATTAAGAGGTGGAATGATAGAAGTAACTGTTCACCCAAAGCAATCTAAGAAAAATGTTTCAAATAAGGCTTCACTAGCAACATTCATATTCTAAATCTTCAATTTTAAAAACAGTCATTTAGTTTTAAACGAGTCAGTCAAAAAGTCTAATGAAATAAGAATAACGATGATGTCATTCTCATTTAACTCGTTTGACTTTATGAACGTACCCATGATAATTCAAAAATATAAAATTTGAATTTAAACTTTAAATTATTCAAATAAAATCATATCTATCAAAAACAATGCTTAACTTACCGTCGAAGAACTTTAATTTCATTTTCTAGAGAATCTTCTTTTCCTTTCAATGCTTTCTTGTCAATGCATTTGATGGCACACATTCTTCCAGGTTCATCTCTGCTTTCTGCTAGCACCACTTGAGAAAAAGCACCCCTGTAAAATGTGTAAATATGTTAAGCGTTGAAAGTTTTATTTTAAAATTGATTTAACTTGAAAAACTTAATAAAATCAGAAAAATTTCTTAATATCAAAATAATCAATCAATACAAAATAATCCATCCTACAATAAAACAATCATAAAAATAGATACTGTACATAATATATAATACATTATTGTGCATGTACACAATAAAGTCAAACAATCATGTATTATATAGTAATTTATATATATATATACATACACACACTATATAATACATAATTGTTTGACATATTATATATTACAAACAATTTGATAAGCAAGATGCCTGTTTGTCTAATCTATATATTTAATATTTTATTTTAATATAATCATACTATGTTAAATGTCAAAGCTGCCCTGAATATTGTATTCTAGTTCAAGAACAAGTTATGTAATATTGGAAGTCAATCATATTCAAAGAACATCTACATTTACAAAATAGTATATTCCATTTTCAAATTCCTCAGATCAAACTTATTGCTCTACACCAGGGGTGTCCAACCTGCAGCCCACGTGGCCCAAGGCAAGTTCCAATGAGGCCCAATAAACGTGTAAACGAAACTGACAAATTTTTAAATTTATTTTTTATTTATTTATTTCAACGGCATAAACTCAAAAAAGAAGTTTCACAAAGTTTACACATATTTTATTTTTGAGTGGAAAGGAAATATTTTCAAATACTTGGAAAGGTGTGAATGAGGAAGGAATACTAAAGAAAGCTGGAGTTGTGACTCAAACATTATAGTCCCAAATTCAGGGAAAGGAGAGGAAGGCCAAAAGATATATAGTGAGAAAGGTTAAATAGACCATCTGTTATGCAAATATTGACCCTTAATTTTCCAACCTTTCTCACTTTATCTTTTGTCCTTTCTCTCTTTTCCTCTTGTTTGTGTTTCTAATCCTTGAGTTCCAACTCCAGCTTTATTTAGTATTCCTTCCAGCGTTGCAAGATTTGGCTACCCTTTTGTTATGTAAAAAATATCNTTGACCCTTAATTTTCCAACCTTTCTCACTTTATCTTTTGTCCTTTCTCTCTTTTCCTCTTGTTTGTGTTTCTAATCCTTGAGTTCCAACTCCAGCTTTATTTAGTATTCCTTCCAGCGTTGCAAGATTTGGCTACCCTTTTGTTATGTAAAAAGTATCAATTGGCGCATTGGCTACTTTTTGGGCTACATATTATTTATAAATATATTAGTTGAATAAAAATGCACTTTAAAATGGTGTTTCATTGTTTTTTATTATACCCAAAAAAACAAATATTTGTGTTTTTCAAACAAATTTTTGTTCGTCTCCTTTATAATAAATGAATTTATCTATTTCTAAGTAAAGATTGAAAGTGTCTGTAGAAGTAATTTTTTAAAATATTCTTTTTCATGATAAAGTTTTAATACTTACTACTATAATCTAGATATGTATATATTTAAGGATTGGGCCACAAATATATATAATATATTAATACTTGTGGCCCAAAACTCCAAGACTTCTTCCAATGTGGCCCAGAGAAACAGAAAGGTTGGACACCCCGTCTTAAACCATCATACCATGTTTGTGGATTGTATTTGAACACTCATTTGGTTACTGTTTACTGTTTGAACACTCAGTGTCTATCCTTTCAAAGTATTTAGTGTATTTAAGCAATCCCACTCTAGGCATTTGGNTACTGTTTATGTCTTATCGAATCGAGACCATCAGACAATTCGTTAAGTAAGTTTTTACGAAACTTGAATTTAATTTAATTTAATTTAATTTTTTTTCATTTAATTTTTATAAATAATTTTTTAATTAATTTTTTTTATATTAAATATTTTTTGCTGTGTTTGTGTTCTGGTTAAAAAATTTTAAAAATTAAAATTAGAATGTACACTTATTTTTCAAGGAAAAAGAGAAGTTCAAAGGTCATTTACAATTAAAATGAATTATTCTACATGAATTCATGCAAAAGCTGCTTAGCTATAGCAAAAAATATTAATAATAATATATTTAGTTAAACATTTTTATTTAAGAGTTGGGCTAGTTAGGGATTATCTGTAGCCTACTGAAGGCAGTTTGGGAAATTCATTGGCATATAGCAGATAGCAACTTCACATATAAGACAGACATCAATTTTTTGAGTCTTTTTTTGGAGAAAGTTGTGTCTTATATGCTGTATTTATTAGTGAATGTGTTCCATCATTCATATCTATAGCATGTTAATAGGGATTAAATTCACATGTACTATAGAGAATTCAACTATGGTATTTATCATTAGTTTAAATGGCAAAATTTTATTCAAATTATCCAAAATTTACAATACATGTTACTTATAATGTAATGCCTGCATAATTCAACAACCCTTGTATTTCACAGTTAAACTAAACTCTCTCTCAGTTGGTCATTTTAGTGTTTTATTACTTTTAATTTATCCATCCATTAGATTAAATCTTGCCATTAATCTAAAGGTTTAATATAACTATGAAAATAAAAGTAATATGACTGTAGTAAAGTAATATATTACATGTAACAATTAATATATATTTTTTTAATTTTTAATTTATTTGTTGCCATTGTAAGATATCAAAATAGAACAGCTATTGATATTACGAAATACTGACCCATAAACAATAATTACCTGTACTATACAAGGAAAATAAATCAAAAGTATAATTATTGTTTTTATGCAATCTTAATACATACAATTGTTACATAATACTAAAATATGTTTTCTTTTATCTTTCTGTAATATATTATGAGAGAGTTAAGACAAAAAATTCTATTTTATCTTAATAATAAGACCAACAGCTATTTCGTTTTGATACCTTGAACTATTACAAAATTGCACATGCTAAATAAAAGAAAAAAGTATTTCCAAAATGTTTTGTATATAAATCTAATAATAAAATAAATAATAATAGAGAACTATTACAAATAGTATTGAAAACTTGTTTCTGTGATAGTATACACTTAGTTTACATGAGAGTCTTAGAGAAATCTATTCATTATGATGATTCCTATTGATAAAAAGTAAAGATTGTTTGATTAGCCTATATCTCAATAATTGCAAAGTTTAGAAATATTAAACAGTATAAAATGTTGAAACTTGGAACAAGTATGTAATAGTTATCACTGAATTATTGATATAGATAATGAACAGATTATTGACATTTTTTTAAATGTGTTGACAAGAAACATTTTTTGTTTTTAATTGAATGTTTTCTGAAAATGCAGAAAGCACTCAGAAATGATAAGACAAACTATAAAAAAAATTTTTTTATCAGAAAATGTTATTCTTTATTATATTATTATTATTATTCAGCAATCATGCCACAACACGTAGTGATGCCTTATCACTTTAATAACCATAAAGATTTTTATTAAATATGATTTATTAACTTCTTATTCTCAATTATATTTATTTTAAGACTTAATTATGCATATCTTGTAAATTTTCTGTTATATTTTTATTTACACTACATAACATTTTTTATTCTTACTTTCATTTGTTTAACTCTTTAGACCAGCTAGATTCTTTAAAACATTTGATAGTTAATAAACATAAAAGAAAGCCAGAAAAAAGCTGTGGAACTTTTAATTTCAAAATAATTTTATTAATTATTTATGTAATATTTTATCAATAGAATATAATGGAAATAATTGTTAAAGCTAAAGCTACATGAATACAGGAGCTGGAACATGCTAAACTTACTAAAACTACACCTTTCACTCACTTCCAGCATAGAAAGTTTATCAACACAAACATTTCAGGCCTCTTTCAAGGGCCTGCCTCAGATTACAATAGCTATTTTTTTTAATGCTGGCCAAAAATTTTAATTTTGGAACATTCTATTCATTTCCATTCTATAGACAACACATCAATTTTGAATGATTTATGTTTGTCTTAAGCTGACACAGTTGCCAAATGATATAAATAGCAAAATATTCAAGTAGTAATAAATACAAATAAACATTTAACAAAAAAATTCACAAAACAATATATATATGTTAAATAAAAATAGACTATTTATTGTTATGTATAAAGGTGTTACCAACACACCTAAGATATCTCCAAAGATTTTAAGGTCCTGAATTTTTATACATCAAAAATACCCATCTTAACAGTCTTTAATAAAACTTTTTATTGAATGTATATCATTTCATGATCTTTTTGCTAAACATTTGTATTTATTCAAGTAATAATTTTGTTATTTATATCATTTGGTAACTATCAGCTTAAGACAAACATCATAAATCATTCAAAATTGATATCACACCTGTAGAACAGAAATGAATAGAATATTCCAAAATTAAAATTCTCGAGCAGTATTCAAAATAACAACTATTGTAACCTGAGGCAAGCCCCTGAAAGAAGCTGAAAACATTTGTGATGATAATTTTGGTGCTGGAAGTGTATGAAAGCTGTAGTTTTAGTAATTTGTTAAAGCTGCTGCTTTTACACAGATACCACTTATTCTCTTATGTTCAAAGGCATCTGATACTTTAACTCATATATCATGATCACAGATAAAAAGGAAACAGAATATTTAAATATTTACAGTAAGTAGCATAAGCATATTGTTTTTTCATAAATTGCAACAGGCAATTTGACAGCATAATCACACTTTTAATTCATAGAACATAATCACATTATTATTGTGGCATACAATATACAAATTAGAACACATGCAAAATTAATACTCTGAACAGTTACGATTTTTGAATTTGGAACAAATAAAATATGTAAAATTAAATTAAATACTTAATTATGAATTAAAGTACATAATACAAATAAATAAATAGATAAAAATAGAATAAAATACAATTAAAATCAAACAAAACCTAGAAATTTAGTAAATACTCAAGAACACACAAATATAATTAGATGAATTTGGATATTAACCTCTTGCAGAAAGAAGAGAAATTAATAAAATTAAATAACCATAAAATTAAATAGGTAAATGTCTCTTCAGTCCGAACAAATTTTCGGTAGACTTTCTCA